GAAGGGTTTCTGGTATTCATCTTGGATCATATGTTAAACAGGAAACTTAGCTACACAGAGAAGATTAAGCACAACTAATATAAAACCAGGAGTGTAAGCAAAATAATGTAAACTGGAAGACAGCTGGACCTGACATGGACTTAAGCCTCAAAGTTTGGTCTCTGTAATGTGGCATCCCCAATGTGCTGGAGAGTATGATGATGGTTGTACTCTGGCACAGCCTACTGGAAATACAGGACGAAACTAAAAATTTTCTTTCCATGCCTAGAGAAAGTGATGCCCAAATAGAAACATAGACATTGTGCCCATTCTTCTGTTTTTTCCCATCTTATGCCCTAGTTGTGCTCATTTTCTCTTTATGGCCTCTTCGGAGCCCAGCAGATGTCTGACAGGGAACAGTGATTCTGGGAACCTGTGACTACTAAAATGATAGTGCAGACTCTGTATAAAGTTAACTGTGCAGGTGGAAGGCTGTGTATTCAGTTCCGGAGATGCACTCTCCATGCCTTTTCATGCAAGACACTCAAACCCAGAAGTGCCACAAGGGTCAGCTGCTGCTGCAACAAACACTGTAAAACCTGTGAGCCTGCACACGGCATCTGCAGTGTCCTGGGGACAGAAGAGATGGGCGGTTTGTAACAGTGGTCATGCTGAATCTAATGCAGCTAATGGGAAATACAGAAGTGAATAATGTGCTTCCAGCCTGTCCTACTACAAGACAAATTCTTTGTTCCTCTCCTAAGCTTTCTTTTTGTTTTTCTTTTATGGACATCGTGTGATGCTTGCAAGGGTCTTTGAAATCATTGTATGGAAGTACTATGCAAAGAGTTAATAGCTGTTTCTATAATTGATAGTTTTTACTTGTACTGTCTGGTATGAAAAGGTTTGTAACTGTAATAGCACACAGTTTAAAATTAAATAAAACCATTTTATTTTCCCACCGTTTGAAATGAAGTAAAACTGTTTTATTTTCCTTTGGAAATGTATAACTTGAGATGAAAAAAATATAAGTATTCTCATATCTTCCTAAACACAAAAATGAGAGCTTTTTCTTCTCTATCCCTGAAAGTCTATAGTAAAGTTAAATATGCTTACTATACTAGGCCTAGGTCTTAATTGCTTTGTCATCAATGGAAGTTTAGTAGACAGAGAAATCAGCATGTTGTTGCTGGCATGTTGTTGCCAGCTGCATTGAAGCCATTTGGTGTTATCCAGTTTGCAGTTATATGCCAGTATCCCATTATCAGTTCTGCTGGACTTCCTATGCTATCTGGACTCTAGGGAAAAGTATTATAAAAGCATTTATAAAAATACAAAAGATAATAGTACTTAAGAATAAGGTATTTTATAAAAATCAGGAAAGTTTTAGAAGATGTTCTGTAAGTCCATTCTCTCAGACCTGAGAAAGCTGTAGGACAGCCACATTAGCCCTCTGAACTGCATTGATTATGGAATGCACTCTTTTACATTTTGTGCCAATGCCCAAAGAGAATGATGATGAGAACAAAACCCACTAGGCTATAAAATACAATATTAGTTATCCCTTGTTCACAATATATATGCAAAATCAAATCAATAACTGTATTACTAAAAAGACTCAAACTCAAAAAACCTAAAAAACACAGCAACAAAAACAAACAAACAAATCATAAATTGCCCACTCCAAAACACTCTAGATACAAAGTTCACAGTGTCAAACAAGGTTCCCTAAGCACATCACCAGCTACTCGCCATGATTGCAACTAGGCAAAGATTAAAAATCAAAGAGATAGCATCCACACATTTCAAGTGAGGCATAGATAAATCTGTTTGTGTTTTGAAGATAATGGGCATGCAAGAATGAATAAAATACTTTTTCCTTTACGACAGTTTGTATGTAGTCTGGGATCTTTCACTTGAGAGAGATGCTGATAACCCTGTCTTAAGCGCTCACTTACTTTCCTGCTGCCTGCTTTGAATCCTGAATTGGTATCACAGCTTCAGAGATAATAATGAAATGGCACCACTTCTTTCAGAGTACTTAATTTGAATACTGTCACTAATTGCACAAAATTAAGTCCAAGCAGAAATCAACAACCTCTCAATATGCAGTCTGAACAATACTGTCAATATGCAGAACATACAATGGAAGGCAACCAAATCTGCTGAAGGTGCTATGGTGATGCAACAGTTTATTTTCTACTAATTTGGTTTTAATGAGGATATTACAGTTGCTATAAAAAAGTAAAGAGGACAATATCTTTTCACTTTTTAGGGGCTGCAAGGCCTGGAACCACACACCTCTGAATTCAATAGCCTTGAAATTAATCCAGGATTATTCAACTGCATGAGAATTGTTAGAAGACTGCAAATAACATCCTGCACTCTGTCTTTTTATTGTAACCTTCCTTATAGTATCATCTTGCAGTGAAACCTGAATATCCTAATGGGATTAAACATAAAAGAAAGTCAGGAAAAAAGTTGCCGGATTAGAATTTTAAGTGAAGCCTTCTGTGAGAAAGACCACACTACTGTCAGCGACCTTCCTGTCCTCATGTGTGATCCCAGTTGTGCCTAGTCAAGTGTCCAAAGGATACTCCATCAGTTCACGCTTATTTATCCTTTTGCTCCTAAAACAGGTGTCTTTGTTTCTAAGAGAACAAGTATTCATGCCATTGATGACGGTGTATTAACCCACTCTGCCAGAGCTCATAATGTTCTCTAGTATGAAAAGAAGAATGTAATGATGTTATTTAAGACCTGAGTTCTGTATTGATAAAACAACATCATTCTAATCAAAAGGTAATAAATTGTCTTCTAGTAAATAGGAAAAATGGTAAAAAATGCAGGCTTTTAAGTGTTTTAGAATGCCATTTCTAACTCCAGCTCCAGGCTTTGTTTGTTTTTTAAATGCACTCTCTGATAAGTTTGCCTCTAACATAACTAAAAGTTGTTTTAGAATCTCATACTATATCTTCACAGCAATCCTTAGATACCACAAGAATGCTTTTCATCTTATTTTTACTCTAAACTCCTGAAGCTCTCCCTAGCTCTGAACAATTATATTAATTAGAGAGTAGTTATTCACAGAGGAGCAGAAAAATGAGCTTAATCAAAAGAAACTTCTAAAACACTCTTAATTTTTATCATTCTAGATCTCTTTGCCTTTGCAATGCTTCAAAGATTCATACTCAGTCTCATGAATGCTATCACAAAATATTAACAACAATGTAAACTTTAAGTGTGGGAGAACGTGTATGAGGTTGAATTCCTGTTGCTATACCCAGATATGTGCCCCAAATAAGGAAAAAAGAAGAGCTTTCCTCACATCTTTCCAGACAGTGTGTTGTCCTCGTAATATTGCTTATTGCTGCTCTCCTTTTCATATTAATTCACACTTAAGGTGTTAGTCAGGTTGCTGTACACCTGAACTGAAATCTTAGGTATTATATGTGTTTATTCTTATTTTACTGTAGAAACTACTAGATCTAGTGCTGAGCCAGTAAAAAGAGCAACAAGATGGTCCTTGACCTTTTGAGTTTGTACGAGAAGTCTAAGAGAAGAGACAAATAATAGGTAGAGGGTCAGACAACACTATAATCAAGATCAGTCAAGATCAGCAGTCAGTAGGCTATGACTATTACATATATTTTCTCTGACAGTTCTAATTTGCAGATTGAAATAATTATTGTCAATGTACAATTTGCTATCCACATTTATAAACTCTTTGGCTGTTAAGTCCCAGTGTTTATTTCTCCACAAGAAAAAAAAATCCTTCTTGATCTACCGCATCACATAAAATGCTCTGCCTTCTACCATCCTGGTCTGCCAACCACCTCTGCAGTATATAGAAAGAAACCAGAGATGGGAAGGAAGTTTTACTAATGGATATATTGATATATAAAGATCTTCATAAAGAAAATAGGCAAATAAAGATAGGATTAGACATTTGACATGAACACAGACAACAGTTTCAACACAGCAGTTTTGAAAATCCTTCTTCCTGGTTGCAGAATCAATTGTGACAAAATATACTACTCCTGAATGCTCTAATAATTAGAATGAAGGCATTAATCCTTTTAATCTGCCTAAAATTCCACAGATAAAAGCACTGCCCTAGATTACCATTTACAATATCACTTCCCTCTTTGAACTGGCTGGTTTATCTTTGCCCATCGTATCAAGGACATTTAGTCCTCAAACTCTGGAATACAAACAGCTCTGATCCAGCCTGTGTCCCAGGTGTTCTCTCTTATGTAGAATGTCTTTATCATCATAGTTTCACTCACTGAAATCTTCACTGTTATCTGTTTTCACTACCTTTCTTCCAATTTTGTGTATAATTCAGCCTGATATCCTCTTTCCCAGTCCCAGTTTAGCCTTCCCATCCTTTTTCCCCTCAACAGACCCACTGCTTCCTAAGGATTGTTATTTGTTAGCAGTAATTTATGTTCATTCCTAAATTTTATTTGGATAAATGTGATGTAAGCAACAACCATTCCTCTCTTCAAAATTATCAGTGGATTTTTTTCATTGTGTTTGTTGGTCTAGAATAAACAGTTTTCATTCATAAATTATCTGGCGGCATTTTTCTTGAACACTGATAAACACACTGTCATCATAAATATCTTTCCCAGGAAAAGGATTTCCATGGCTCCAATGTCACAGAGAGATAGTCATGAAAACTGCCCACTGCGTGTTGCAGAGAGACTGTTTTATCACAAGCAAACAACACCTCTCTGATGGAGGAGCTTTTGCCTGACCAAGGTAAAGATTAATTAACACAGAGCTCTCAAATACATGGCAATAGGTACTTATGCTGGACTTATCTTTTATATCCAAAACGTTCTGTAAATGTTGAATTTCATACAGTTATACTGTTTAGGACTCAGATTCTAATCTCAACAAAAACAGACTCTACATCAGTTTTGGTCCATGAGCCCTAATTTATACCACTAGATGAACAGAACCCAGCTAATATCACTATTAATTTGAATAGGAAAAGAATGCAGAGGCAATACCTGCACAAACCCACACATCATGTAGTCATCAAACAAAGGCAGACTTGGGCGGTCCTCTCGATAAACTGTGATTTTGTAGCTGCTCACAACCTGAGGGCTGGGCTGCGAATCATCTGTTACGAGAATGATGACTTTGTTCAATCCAAGGCCAAGGGGGTAGTTAGCACTGCTGCACAACAAAATAGAAAAAAAATGGAATAAACCCTAAAGAAACAAATATTTATGCTGCTTTATCTATGGCTGCTAAGCTTTACTTGCTCCTTGAGGCTGCTACTTCTAACATTTTCTCTTAAAAAATACATGCGATTTTAAATAAAAACAGTGTAAAATAACATTTTTAACAATTTATAGTTCTTTCAGAAAGACAAAATAATGACAGCAAAACTTAGAGAAAACAGCTTCAGTGGCAATGGCAAATATTCTGACATGAAATCTGTGAATGAAACCATTAGGGACAATAATTCCTGGCAGGTCGGTCCAAGTTTGTGGTGAAGTCAGCAGAGAGACAAACATGATCAGAGTGTCAGCTAGCCTCTGAAATTGTCCACTAGCCAAATGTGATGACTAGACAAACTGCTCAGAGTAACAGACAAGACCAAAGCTGAGCTGTGCTCTTCTTCTCTTGGAAGGGAAACAAAAAATGTGGAAAGACAGAACCTGCACATGAAAGGCTTTTACTTTTCAATGTAAAGAACATATTGGTATTCTGTTTTCCTTTTACAAGGAAGAAAGCTCTAAGCTTTTCACATGTATCCACACTGACTTCCAGATGAGTTAACATTAGGGAACCAAAATGTTGAGTGGAAGAATTTTTTGGCAGTTTCTTTTGAAATTATATATCAAGACTGACTTCTTATTGAAAATACAGGAAACATACTGAGTGTTAGATCAGTAAGAACTCTACAGACTGTCTAGTTATTAAAAGACATTCTAGGTCAAAGCATCTGCTTCATAGTTCAAAAGATGGTGTGTTGCATAAGCACTTCATGTCATGAAGCAAAGATAGCTCTGTAATGGTTTAAGAATTTCTCTTCTTAAGTAATTAATTGTTCATGCTCTCCTATTTAGCCACTAACTAACAGCTAGTATGTAAATAGGCCAGTTCTCTCGTTCTGAGGTACCTGACCCAAATAAATAAACTGGCATTGTCTCTTGCACATGCTGTTATCTCAGTGAAAGCTGGTTGGGAAAAACAAAACTGTGCCATAGCAGCAGTTAAATATCATGGATAATTGTGTGTCAGTGATCAAACCTAATGTTTAGTGATGACTCTGCTTTCTTCTTTATCATCCAGCTTTATATTTCTCTAAAAGATCAGATAAGATGAAACTTGCAGATGGCAAGATGACCCACTTAGTGGATGAAAGAAAGGCTGTGGTTGTTGTCTGCCTAGTGCCTTTGACACTGTTCCCCTCAGCATTCTTCTGGAGAAATTGGCTGCTTACAGCTTGGATGGGCATACACTTTGCTGGGTAAAAAACCGCCTGGATGGCCAGGTCAATGATTGAGACAAGGAGATCGAGTGCAACCTCAGTCAGTTTGCAGGAAACATCAAATCGGGTAGGAGTGCTGATCTGCTGGAGTCTCTGCAAAGGGGTCTGGACAGGCCAAGGCCAAGTGCACGAGGTCCAAGAAGGTGAAGTGCTATGTCCAGCACTTGGGTCACAACAACCCTATGCAGAGCTACAGGACTGGGGCAGAGAGGCTGGAAAGATGCCTGGTGGAAAAGGATCTGGGAGTGCTATTGACAGTCAGCTGAACATGAGTCAGCAGTGTGCCCAGGTGACCAAGAAGGTCAAAGGCATCCTGACCTCTATTAAGAATAGTGTGGCCAGCAGGACTAGGACAATGATTGTTCCCCTGTATTTGGCACTGATGAATCCTTGACACCTTGAATCCTGTGTTCAGCTCTGGTCCCTCACAGCAAGAAAGAAATTAAGGTGCTTGAGCGTGTCCAGAGAAGGGAAATGAAGATGGTGAAGGATCTGGAAGACAAGTCTGCTGAGGAGCAACTGAGGGAGCTGGAGTTGTTTAACCTGGTGAGAAGGAGGTTGCCTGAATGGAAGTTGTAGCTGGATGGGGGTTGGCCTCTTCTCCCAAGTAACAAGTGACAGGACAAGAGGAAATGGCCTAAAGTTACACCAGGGAAGTTTTACATTGGATATTAGGAAGAATTTCTTCACTGAAGGGGTTGTCAAGTATTGGAATAGGCAGCCCAGGGCAAGTCAACATCCTGGGAGGTATTTAAAAGATGTGTTGATGGGTCACTTAAGAATGTGGTTTAGTGGTGCACTTGGCAGTACTGGGTTAATGTTTGGATTTGATGATATCAAGGGTCTTTCTCAATGTAAATTATTCTATGATTATATGACAATCCCTTGTAATATAACTCTGATGAAAACTGATCATTGTAAATTAGAAAACTTGAACTTACTTCTTCTTTTTACCCCAGCTGTCCTACTCTGACCCACATAAGCAGACCAATTGCAGCAGCTTTGCACTTAGCAGTGCAAAATTAACACCTGGATACAAAAGCTCAGATTCTTCGTTGTCTGCTGTGTGCAGTGGTGTGCAGATGGTCTGTTCCTATTTAGCTTTGATGCTGTCAGAGATTGCAGAAGCTGGGTGGGATGCTAGCAACTATACCCTCCGTAAAGCTAGGGTTAATTATGACTTGAGAACATCTTACCACTGACTTTAGGATATTGAAAACAAATACAAGTTTCTCAGTGTTGAACTCCCTCTAACCTTCCTGTGACTAATCTATCTGTGTTCTGGGTTTCTGGAAACACAAAACTATCCTATAATATTCTGACATATCTCCAAAATTAAGCGTTTACATTCATATTTTTTGCTCATACCTTGGCCCTTTCTTGTCGTCAAGGTGTATTTGGCATTGACAGTTAGAGGGTTCTGCTCCTATCTTCACTGTCACCATGTCGAATGGGACTTCTGCATAGTATTCTTTGATCTTTGGGTTAAACTGAGGATTCAAGTCCAGCTGTGGACTGGTGAAGATCTGCCTGATATGAGATAGGGTATCTTTATCTGTTCCAAGAAGGCATCAAAGAAAAAACTGTGAAATGTATGAACATTTTTGAGTAACATGCAACTTCTGGCAGATTGATAACATGTACAGCGGCAAGATATTTAATGCCTAGTCACTCTGAGACTGATAATCCTGCTGCAAAATCTTAATGGAGTTTTTAATGGCACTTGAGAGAAATTTTTAAACCTTGGAGGGATTTTAATTATTCAGTGCCCAATCACTTTAGCCCTAGTCACAAAACTCAAAGCCTGAGTAAGCCTTTGAAAATGCAAGGATTAAGTCTGGGAGATCTGTCTCCAGTTGGTTTACTGAAACATAAAGAAGAGGTAGGCCAAAATTCATAACCTACTTAGGTACCAGCCTGTGTATAGGGTTTATGTACAAATGTAATTTACAATAAAAATCAAAATAAGTTAGACATATTCTTACCCTTCATAAGAACAAGTCATATGGAGATGTCTAGACCCCTGGGGTCATTTGCAGTACAGCTGGAAGAATGTTTTATTAAAATTCCTAAATCAAATTCCAGCTTCTTGCCTCTGTATGAAATCTCCACAATCAAATCCTATTTGCTCAAATGTATCCTTTATATTGTAGTTTTTGCCCAATTACTCATGAGAATAATTATTTGCTGGTAACCCACTTATGACAAATATTTTAATCCAACCTATTGGATTCAGATTTACAGTATAATTGCACATTCAAAACTGCTTTCCACATACATTCACTAGTACATGTTTAAAACTGGGTACTTCAGAAAATATTCCAGATAGAAAACTTTTTATTATCTGAAAAATCTTATAGCTTAAAACCTGGTCTAAAAGGGTCATAAATGCTGTAAGCAGTTCTATGGGGACCTTTTCTATCTTGAAATATCTGCCTAGAGAAAGAAAACAGGGCAATTTCAGCACCTTCTTTCATGGATTATAATTCAAAGGAAGTTACTCCAGTGGAAGAGTAGAATTTGGGCTAGATTTGTAGGGGAATAGAGTCTTATACATTGATACAGGGAAGGTATTAAAAAAAACCCTTACAGATGGGTACAAACATTTCCCCACATCCTGTATGCCTTACCTAGAAATGTTGCCTCACTATTAGCTTAAAAATGAGGAGGAATTTAAAAATAAATTAACTGAGGTATTTTCAAACTAAAATGTCATAAAATCAGAATAGTGATGCCACTCAGCTAGCCTGGAGCATTTCTGGCCTTCGACTGGTAGAGTAGTTCCTGGAGGCACCATACCGGTAACAGATAGGACAGAAGGCTCAGTGAGTAGCAAAGCCTTTCCACCACAGAGCAATGGCTTCACATTTACAAAGTGATCCCTTAGATAACATGTCAATGAGAAGGTAGCAGAAAGCATTGCTCTGACGAAAGGAAAATATATTTTAAATCTTTACAGTTCTTTAAATGTACTTTAAATATTCCAACAAGCATATGTATTTTAGAAGAACTCATCTCTAGAGGAGCTATTTAATATCCCGTTATTGAACCCCAGAGAAATTTAAAGGTTTTTTTCACAAGAACAAACGTGTTGAAGTTAATGGAAATAGGGGGCAAAAGTCTACTAAACTGTGACAAGGGATCAGTTAGTCCTGGAATACTCACATTAATATGCACACACAGCAATGTTTAATTTTGTGCTTGAGGCTTATTTAATATAATAGCCAAATTATTGAGAGTTGTTTATCTATTCACTGAAAGGTTATGAAGAAAAACCCAAGAAATTTGTTCAAGAAATCTCTCTTCTTACCCCTTAGTGGTCTAGAAAGATCTTGACTTACCATGACTGCACTGTCTTTCTTTAGTCTTACTTGAATAATGCAATGCTGAAAGATAAACAGAAACACCTAATAGTTTTCTATTCTAAGCCCAATTACAATCCTATTGGAGAAGAAAACATCTTTTAATTATAAAAGATACATTGTACTCTTTTCTTTACAGTGTGAGATCTTTGTTTTAGGCCCATGAACACAGTTCATGGTCTCAGCATAATGACTTGCACAGATAAGGAAGAAAGCCAAGAATTTTCAGGTGGAATGCAAAACAATCTAATATAAATCATGCATGTTATCAGAAATAATGCAAATAGGAAAAACATACTTTATATAAAAGACCTCATCCCTTACCTTTATGACTCTTCCTGGAGTCAGAAAGAACATTCTGCTTAGGACTCCTATTTTCTTGAGAAGATAGCCTGTCAATTCAATAGCAGACATATTCTTACATGAATGGAGGGAACAAAAACCATGAAACATTTTTCAATAGTTGCTATATGGTATCCTATGGTATTTTAATATTCTCCATGGGAAGATGAACCTTCTGGATTCATGTTCCCAGCATTAGCAATATTACCTGAGTGAACATATTCCATAGTAAATGGTAGCATATCATATCAAAATAGAAAACAAGAAATAAATTTCAAAACAAAATTGCATTGCTGGGAAAAGGAAGAGTGGATATAGCCAAGAATAAAATAACCCAAACTGTATGTCTTAACTGTTTGTATGATGGTTTTCTGTATATACTAGAGGTTTAAAAAGAATTAAATATAAATGAAGGCCTGTGTCAAGGGCAATATCTCTACCGACATTAGCATGAATTCCTAAAATGGAACTCCTATGGGTTTTGCTTTGTTTGCTAATTTAAAACAAATCCAGATTATATATATAAATAAATCCTCCATGAAAAAAAAGACAAATGATTTGCAACAATTCATCAACATGTCAGTGGTGCCCATATTACAACCTCTGCAGACTTCTTCTTTCAAATAGAATTTTGGGAGCATAACAGAAGAGAGTAGCACAACAGAAGAAAGGGAGTAGGATTCTTTTCAATCTGTGTGCTGGACCTCTAGGTAATAACACCTTTTCAGAGGTCTACTACCATTTCTTGAAGCTTTCTCGTGTTTTCCTCCCAGTCTTTTCCATAGAAGTTCTCATAAAGCAGCTTCATACTGCAGTTTGGATTTTGAAAGACATGAAGTCACTGTCTGTGCCAAAGGAAGAGAGGTGGCAGTATTGCTCTGTGCAATCATCCATCACTAATGTTTCAACAGGAGCTTCTGAAAGCAATATTGAGGTCAATAAGTAAAAGGTAAACTGTCCAATAATAAAACAGATATTTCTGCATTATGTCAATGAGCTACGAAAGAAGTCGCTAGCAGATCAATGTGTCTCTGTGTGTGCATGAAAATGTAGTTCTGAGCTTGCAGTGTCTAGACACCACCCTAATTTCATGCACATTCTTGACCTACTTCAAAGGAGGCACTTAACAAACTATTAGAGAGTTTGTTTTCCAAGTTGTAAATAATTTTTCACCCCTCCTCCTCCTTGCCAAAGAGGTAACAGCTAACACCTGTCAAATACATTCCTCTCCATTTTGCTTGCCCAGTCCCAAACTCTACTGTAAGGTGAAAACAAGATGTCTTAACTCTATAAAGTAACAGGGGCAGTGATCATCCCACTGTACTCAGCACTGGTGAGGCTGCACCTCAAATCCTGTATCCATTTTTGGGCCCCTCACTACAAGAAAGACATTGAGGTGCGGGAGTCTGTTCAGAGAAGGGCAAGGAAGTTGGTGAAGGGTCTGGAACACAAGTCTGCTGAGGAGCGGCTGAGAGAGCTGGGATTGTTTAGTCTGGAGAAAGGAACGTTCAGGGGAGACCTTATCGCTCTCTACAACTATCAGCAGGCTGTAGCCACGTGGGGGTCATTCTCTTCTCCCAGTTAATAAGTGACAGGATGAGGGGAGTCTTCCAACCTAAATGAGACTATATTTCTATGATTTATTTCTGCTGAAGCCTGGGCTTTTTAATCATCAATACCATTAAGTTTTCCTTTGTGCAAGCACCTTGCAGTCAGCAAACTGAGGTAATATGCAGTTATAAAGCTCTTCAAAATACAGGCACCAGCTGAGACCCTGGACGGTGCAGAGTCCTTTCCTTCACATGCTGGCATTAAAGAAGAGACCTTTATCTGTATGAGTGGCCCCTTATTTACTTAAGTATCTCAAAGGAGCTATCAAGTAGAGATGTGTGCTTTACCCACACACTTTGCAATTAGCTCTAATGAAACTAATGACTGTATGTCAGTACTCTTGGTGAGTGCATGCTTATGAATGTACCTTTTGAAAGATCCCAGATGTGTATATCACAAACCAGTGACTGTGAATCTGTCCTATGGGAATCTCTTTGATTCAGCAAATGAGAAAGCCCAAGGATTGACAGTAGCAATACTAATATAGCTCTGATGGCTAAAGCAATCAGAGACATAAGCAATGAAGGATGTGTAGAAATAGAATATTTCATTTATATATAAAAAAAAAAAATCTAGTTGCTTTTGGTGCCTCTGATGGATTTGTTAGTTGTGGATGGTACAGTTTGTAATGGGTCATAAATTCATGATCGAGAACATATTTCAGTATTCAGCAGATTCATGAATTTTATTTCTTTCACTGATGTTATATAGGTATCTCTTCAAAATGAAGAACCACTGGAGATAATTTTGTGAGACTGTATCACTAACAATTTTTTCCTGTTTGATTAACTGGCAGTGAGAGCTCTCTGTTTTGTAGAGTGTTTGCTTGGCTTCAATTGCAGAGTTTCCATGAGGGCATTTGGTTCCCTAAATGAAATACCTTGTGCTGATCTTCAGAAGAGAAATATAAAGTTGCAGACTCAAGAGTGGGAATGTTTTCCTGGCACTCAATACCAACTGTTTCTCTTCTTTCCTCCTTCCCTTTATTCCCTCCTTTCCTCCTATTGCAGGTCAGTGATCTTATCTACACTTCCTGCTTGTTGCCTTTTTCTGTCCCATAGACCAAACCATGTTACTTTTTCAAACTGCCTTGGTAATTGACACGACCAAATTAAACTCCGAGAAATTATTTTGAACCTAAATTCAGTCTGAAGGCTGCTGCTTCTATTCTGATCTAAAAAAGGGCTTGTATATGGGAAGCTAGAACCAATTTTCCAAATATATCAGTTGATTTCACAAAAACATTTGCAACTTTATTGACCTGCTTAGGTTTTTGTCTTTTGCAAATACCCTGCTGTGTGACAGCCTAACATACTAGCCATGATACTTCATAGTACCTATTTTAAAAGACAGCAGCTATGCACATCCTAGTCATATCACAAGTTGAAACTGCAGAGTTGAAAAACAGTGCAAAAACAATGCAGAAAATTTATTTCAGTGCATGTTGGGTAGTACCACTCCATCACTTTCAAAGAACTTTGTAATATCTTATACCGATACATTAGAGGTGGTCATTTCATCTAGGCTGGAATAATGTCATCATAGTCTGAGATGAGTTTCTGGAGTTCTTCTTCACTAATACCATTTAAGTTTTCAGAACTACTCATATAGATGAAATAGGTGAAAAAACGTAGACGAGGAAACACCTTTAAATCCTGTCTTCATCCTATGGATTCATGATCAATGAAGAGAGTAACTGTACAAGACCTGAAACAGAAGTCACTATTTTTCATGTAAGTATCTTGTCTGGTTGGACAATATGCAATCACTGGATTTTATAAATGGAAATACCAGTTTTGCATAGTCAGAGTAATAAGAACTGTGTGCCACAGGATTAGCTCAGTTGGTTAGAGTGTGGTGCTAATAATGCCAGGGTTGCAAGATCAATCCCTGATTGGGCCTTTCACGATAGAACTGGACTCGATCCTTTTGGGTCCCTTCCCACTCAGAATATTCTGTGAAACCTCATCAAGTGTTAAATAAATCCTATGAAGAAATTTAGGAAAAGTGTTCTGATATACAAACTCATCAAAGCTGGTAATTGCAAAAAAACCCGATTAATCGAAGCTCAAAGAGAATGCATACCTGACTTAGTAAGTACAACAACGCTTGTTCTTCCTTGCAATTAAATATAATTACATGCCTATCTGACACATGCATCACCATCACATGCATGTAGCTAGGAAGATTATGATTTAGCAATGTCAAAGAACGTCTTTTTATACAGTGAATGAACAGAATGGTGTTATTAGCTTAACCATTACAGGAAAATATAGTGCAAAGAAGCAGATTGGCCTTTGTCCTGGAGAAATATCATGGTATTTCTACATATTTATATGCATACAATAATGTTTGGCTTGAAGGAAAAAATGAGGCCAAGGGGCTTACTCAAAGTGAGTGAGTGGCACAGCTTAGATTAGAACAGAAAGCTGCTAAAGGCTGGTATGCTTTGATATGCAAACCTAAATATTTCTGCAAAAGGGCAACGGCTTACACATGAATGCAAACAGCTGCATCTTTGAGTTACTTCTCATAGAGTGGTTGCAGTAACAACAATAACTTAGCACATTTATGAAACCGTGTATTTTCAAAACACTAATAAACAGTTACCTAGCACAGTGTGAAAGGATAAACGACTTTATAGTTAAGTAAACAAAGATACAGATAACTATCGACTTGCTCAAAGCCCTACCCAATTCATTGAGGAGCAAAACTAAAACTTAGGAAATCTTACAGATGTCCTATACAGTCATGACAGCATTCTCCAAGTAAAATGTATAAAATAGTGTCATTCAAACATTCAAGTTGAGACTCAGTGGAATGGAGCACACACATTGTCTAATGTGCCTCTGTACCCATGCCCTTGTTTGTAAAATCATAAATGTCTTTAGACAGCAAAGTGTGGCACATATGTATATAAAACATCATTAGCCAAGAGATAATGAAAACAGAAAACACATTTTGACAAATTTTTTACTAAAGATGCAGTATACCACAAGTTTTCCCCTTCCCTCCATTCATTTTTTACTCCCTTTTTTCTTTTATTCTCTCCCTCTCTCCTTCCTTCCTTTCCCTGTTCCCTCCTTATAAAAGTTAAAATTTCTTGCCAGAAATTCAGTAGATCTAACCTTGTCATTGCAGTATTTTTTCCAGCTTTTCAAAAAGAGTTAAAACGAGGTTCTCAGAGTATTATGGTCTTTGACCTGCCTCTTCTGTCCTCTTGTTGGACAGAAAATATAGAGCCACTCAAAATTATTTGTCCTTTTGAAAAATCTTCACCAGAAATTTTATATTTTCTTTACAGTTTTGCTTTTAATTGGTGCATAAATTAAGACAATCTTAAACCTGATAAATGTTCCTAATACTGATTTTACATTTTTTTCAGAACCAACTTACCTAATTTACTTCATCTTTCTTCTAAAAACATTTAATGTACTTCCAATTAAATTTTAACCCAGAGTCTTTCACATTAGAAAGAGAAGAAAACATTGTCTTTGGAAAAACCTAGCTCCATTTCTAATGGCAGAATGGCTGACACTGCTCCATGATGGCATGATAGACCCTCCTCTCAAGACTTGCAAGTCCACCTGCATCTACTGAAGGGTTAAGTTTTATAATGCTCACCCGAGATACTGCAATTAATATAATTTGAGAAACTACCCTCATATATATAACAGCTATCTTACCATTCTGAAATATTTGTATGTGCCTCTTTAGTCATGAACTGGAATTGTTCAAGTAAACTGGAAAGCAGCCAATGCACAGTCAGGACTGATCCAAGCCGCCTCATTGGGTCTACCATGCGATAAAGGTCGCGCAGTAACGTTTGAATCTTGGGTGCAGCAGAAGGGAAAAGCTGAGAAGAGAGACACTGATTAGAAACCCCACAGCAAAATATTTCAAGAGGGCCAAGATGTGAGAAATGATCAGAAGACAGTATATATAGCATAGGGATGATTATATATTAATGTTCTTTCCCACATGTGCAGAAAATTACTGTCTCGTCCAGCCTTGCAAATCAGAATTCCCAATACTG